CAGGCTGCCGGTGTGGGGACAGGTTGAACTGTGTAACTATGTGAGGTGATGGTATGAATCCAAGAAGGCTTCCTGAAAGCCTGGGGAGGCACCAGGAAAGCAGCATCTAGGGCAGGCCAGGATGTGGGGTGGGGCGAGGTCTGGCCTCAGGCTGCTCTTCCCGCCCCCCTCCGAACCCCCAGCTCCGCAGCGGAGAAAGGATCAAGCTCATCCCCCTGCTCTGCATCATCTGTACCTCGGTGGTCTGGGGCTTTGCACTCTTCTTCTTCTTCCAGGGACTCAGCACCTGGCAGGTGAGCTGGCATCCTACCAAGAGGGTGGGGCAGTTGCCCACATGTGCATTTTGAGCCCACACACAGCCTTTTCAAACATAGTTTGTGAGCACTTCCACAGCCAGCACTTTCACAGCAGCTTTCCTGTTTAATCCTCCTACCATTCAACATGCCAACATGAAGGGTCCCTGTTCTACGTATGCGGCAGCTGAGGCTCAGGGAGGCTAAGGGACCCGCCAAAGGTCACATAGCTAGTGAGTGGCGCAGCTGGGGTTTGAAGCCAGCTCCGTCCTCTGCCTCCTAGGGTACCTGCCATGGATCAGGTTTCAATCCTGTGGTCCGAACTAACTGCCTTTGACGCACTTAGAATCTAGCTCAAGAGAAGGACTGTTAGAGCCTGGCTTTCTGTTTACGGTATGATACACAAGGTGAAGGGTATAGGCGAGACAGGCAGGGGAGTGTACAAGAGGGCAGAGGACAGAGGCCTCTGTGAGTTAGGATGTCCAGGAAAGCTCCTGGAAGAGACAGGCCTTGCTCTTGGCCTTAAAGACCCTGGGTGATGGGGAAGGGCCCTGTGGCCCAGAGATTCTGCGACTTGGGTAACGATGCAGAGGCAGAACTGGAGGCAGATTTGGGGCTTAGCGAAGCTACTTCTTTGGGAGCCAGGTGAACACTGTGAGCTCTTTGAGGGCAGGGCAGGTCTTTTTCATGGTCATCTCTGTGATCTCAGCGTGTGGCACTGACAGCCCCCAGAGTGAGGTCCAGCCAGTGCTTGTAAGGATAGAGGTTACGGGTAGAGCACAGAGGACCTTGAGTGCCACAGAACAAGGCTACTGCCAGGCTTGGGCAGGGGTTTGTGACCTGACCGTTGTGCTTTGGAAAGAAAATGAACCTGAATGAGCCCGGCGGTGTGATGAGAGCAGAGGGCAGGGCCCAAGGCGGGGACTGAGTTAGGAGGCTTTGTGGCCTTCTAGTGTCTCAAGGTCATCACATCCTCTGCTCTCAGGTCAAAGGAAAGAAGGGTCTGAGGGGAGGAGGATCAGAGTGACAGAAGGGAGAGGGCAGGAGCAGGGAGAAATCTGTACCAAGCCAGTTCTTGGATGTGGGAGACAAGGGCAAGGGGCAGGCAGGAAGGTGGTCTCCCTCCTGGGGCTGGGTCCTGGGAGCGCCCTGGAGGGAGCGGGGGTGCCAGGGCGATGTGGCAGGCAGTTCTCCCTGTTCCTGCCCAGAAAACCCCTGCCGAGTCGCGGGAGCACAACCGGGACTGCATCCTCCTTGACTTCTTTGATGACCATGACATCTGGCACTTCCTCTCCTCCATAGCCATGTTTGGGTCATTCCTGGTACGTGAGACTCTCCTGGCCCAGTGGGGAGGGTGAGGTAGAGGTGCGGGCTGTCCCCTTTCCTGTGCTTGACTCAGTGTCCACCTCCCAGGTGTTGCTGACGCTGGACGACGACCTGGACACCGTGCAGCGGGACAAGATCTATGTCTTCTAGTGGAAGCCAAGCTCCTTGCTTCACTCTTGGGGCCCTGAGCTCCTCTGCCTCACTGCCTGGAGCCTCTGTAGCACCAGGGGTGTGAGCCCCAGCCCTGCTGCCCAGTGCTGGGTGGCGGTGGGACAGCGAGACACCCAGCCAAGGCTTGGCCTCGGACAGTCACAGAGGTGGCCTTGAGCCCTGGCGCTGCCCTCTGCCGGGGAGGAGGCCTGCTCCCCTGAAACCCTCGACGTTGGCCAAATTGCTGCTTTCTTCTCAGTGTTCGGGCCTTTCATGGTCCTTGTCCTTGGCTCTCTCCATTTGTCCCTCTGCAGGCGGAAGGAGGGACGTGTTGCCCTGCCCATCTCATGCCTCCCGTCCTGCCCCATCCTCCTCCCTCCTCTAGCCTGGGCCCCAGAGCCGTTTCTTCCTCAGTCTGCGGCCTGGCTCTCTGGCCTGCGCCTGGGCCTCGCTTCTCTTTGGGGCTGTACCTGGCTGCCATCACTGCCCACTCTGGTCAGCCAGGAGAGATGGGGGGCGTAGGGTTTTAGGGGCTGGCCAGCTGGTGCCAGGCTTTCGGTGCTACGACCTGCGAAGGTCCCTGGCTGGTTCTGTGGCAATGAGGGTCAGCCCGTATGTGAGCAGCACCTTTGATCCGAGGGGCTGAATTTGGAGGCCACCTTCCTATTCCGTCAGCCCTCAGGCTGATACTGGCACCAGGATTGGAAAGAAAAAAGCAACTCACCCTTTTTCTTACCTTTTCTCTCCAGGTTCTTAGTCCTGCCAAGCCCCAGCTGGGGGCCTTTCAGTGCCATTGAAACCACCCAAGAATGTTCAGGGGTGAAGGAGGGAGGATACAAAGAGCCCAGCCCGTCCTGCCTCCTCCACGGCCACAGGAGCCCCAGTGCCTATCTTAGAAAGGGGCTCAAGAAAGGGACATGACATTTCCCTCTGTGTCCCTGGTCCCAGCCTCACTCTAGGACCTAGGGCTGGCTCCTAAGTTTCTGTCCTTCAGCCAAGTTCTGTGTTGATCACACACATAACATAGGTATTAAACCTTGGAGTTTACACTGAGTGGCCCCAGCTCTGGGACCCTGGCTGCTCTGGTTTCGCGGGCCTCTTTGCTCTACATGGCCCATTCCGGAAGCCAAGGTTGGGGAGGTCAGGTCCGGCCTCTGCCTCCCAGATAGGAATGTGTTTTATTCTCCCCAACTTGCTTTTAGCTCTCCGTTGGGCTGAGGAGAGGAGATAGGTCTGGGTCTTTTTTAAGAATTCCGTTTAATGTCTGTTTCCACGCTATGGTTGCATTTCTGTTTTCTATGAATGAGTTTGCATTCAATTAAAGGAACAACCAGATGCAGTTCTTGGTCCCCTGCTTTCTCCCCCTCTCTGGGTGTCGATGTTGAGAATGTGGGGTGCGGCAGGGGTCGTCCATTTTCCAGTTCTCTGTTCTACCGTTCTCTTTTCCAAGCCGCAGGCCCATTGGGAACAACAGTTTCTTGATTCCCCAAGTTTTCCTTTCCTCTGAGCAGTGGCATCAGTTCAGTAAATATTTACTAGGGGCCTGGCAAATGGCAGTGGCCTCTGCCCGCCTGGTGCCCACCTATCAGTCAGGCAGCTTCCCTTCTAACCTGAGCCCCTCCCAGCTCAGCAGGCTGCAGGTACAGTGCCTTTAAGGGACAGCAGCATGCAGCTCAAGGCTAGGGTTGTGCTGGGGGGGAGGCAGAGGGGGGACAGAAGATGGGGATGGCTAATGGGTGAGTGGGCGTGTGGATGGACAGGCTCCAAGAGGAAGGAGTTTTGCAGTTCCCCTGGAAGGTTGGTTGAGATTTCATCAGGCTAAGGAGGACACGATTTGGTGGGCGAGGAAGCTGGTGATTCGGGACACAACCAGAGGCCTATGGGCTGCTCTAGCTGATGGCCTCTTCCTCTCCCTGCCCTTCCCTGCAGATGCCGCTAGGGGGCACTATAGCTCTATGCACTACTACTGGCCAGTGTGGAGTCACTCGGGGGCCTGGGGGTGGGGAACAGAGCTAGTTTCCTCTAGCAGGGGGGCGCTGAGGGGTGAACTTTGGAGTTAGGAGGCTGACTGGCAGGCCGGCCCTCTCGTGATAGTGCTGGGTGTTTCTGTGCTGAGTGTATGGTGGGGAGTGTTAGCTCCTTCCTGCCAGGCTGCCTTAGGAGGGAGGCGTGCCTCAGTGGGGCACCCCAGAGACCCCACTTGAAATCTCTCACCTTCTTAACCACCTTCTACCCCTTCCTGAAACCTCTGAAACCAGGAAAAAGCAAGATATGAGTGTGTCTCCTTCCTGGGGTGATGGAGTCCAGTCTGCTTTCAGGATACATAGGGACTGTTTCTACAGGGAGGGAGGACGGGAGGGATGATAGCACCTGAGCCTCCTACCCCGGTGCTGGTGTCTTCAGGCCCTGCCAGACCTTAGAGACCCTCTGGATGGGGGCCAGGGTCCACTGAGCTGCTGCTGAACCCTTAAATCCCACTCCTAGTTAGAGCATGTAACTCAAGGCCCACCTCAACTGATAGCTCTTCTCAACCTGAGCAGGGTGGTACAACTGAAAGGGTGGGTCTGACAGCTTCTCCAGCTCCCATATGGGGGTCGGCAGGGATGTCCAGGCTCTGCCACTCATGACTAACCACATGGCCTTGGGTAAGATGTACTCTGAGCCTCAGTTTCCTCATCTGTAAAATGGAGATAGTAATTATGCTGTCATGATGTAGCTGTATTAAATAAGAGCATTGCAAAGTGCCTGGCAACTAGTCAGTCCCCTGTAAAGGTTAGTTCCTATCTCTGACTAGGGCTAAAGGTCTAGAGGGAAAGGGTGGCTGGGTTGTCCCCTACAAACTTCAGGGATGAACCCCCCCCCACACACACAGCCCCTTTCCTCTCTCTTTCTGGCCAGACCTTTTAGAATTACTCCCCCTCCCCTCAAACTCCGGAGCAGGGAACAATGAAGAAGGAGCAGCCCTAAGTCCAGACAGCAGGGAAAGCCTTCGTGGTCCTGTCCATAAAAGGCTTTTCCCACTAGTTCCCCGCCGGCAGCACAGCCCCGCCCCACGGCTCCATCACCAAAGCACGCAGAGAATGTCTCGGTCAGCCCCAGCAGACTCCTCCAACTTGGTGTCTTTCCCCAAATATGGAGCCTGTGTGGAGTCACTGGGGGGCCTGGGGGTGGGGAGCGAAGCCCGTTTCCTCTAGCAGGGGCGGGGCTGTGGGGTGAGCCAGCGGGGGAGGTTGACATCACTACAGCAGCAGCCCTTTAAACCTCTCACCCAGCCAGCGCCCCATCCTGTCTGTCCAAGTCCAGATAGAGCTGACTCCTTCCTGCGAGCCCTGAAGAGCCCCTGTAAGTGCATTTGTCCCTGGTTTGGAGGGAAGTTGGGCTGGGGTTTGACAGGCGCATTGGAAGTATTGCAGGCAAGGCTGGGAGAGGGTTCCTGGAGCCCACCCGCTCTGCATTCCTAACCTCCAGCTGGGGAGTGGTCCTAGCAGATAGATGGGATTGCCAGAATCCCAAATTGCTCAGACTGGGCAGCCTTCAGCTCATTGAAATGCCCCGGATGACTTGGCTGGGTGAAGAGGGATTGATGGTGGAAACCTGGGAACTGGGGTGAGTGGGAGGCTCCCCATTTTCAACTATAGTCACATCATAGGGTGTGTAATAGGCTCAAGGTGATGTTGGGTTAGACCCAAGGGTCTGTTGTCTGTCTAGGAGGATGTCCAAAGAGGTGAGGAGGTGTGTGAGTGAGTACACTAATGCTGGAGAACAGTGTCCCCACCGGGAGCAGCACGGGAGAGCCCCTGGGTAGCCCCTGAGGCAGGGGTAAGGGCCACAAAACTGTTGTGTTCTAGAACAGGCTGGGGTGACAGGATGCAGAGACAGGTGAGAGCTGATTTTCTGGGTACACAACTCCTTCCATACACTGAGTGGAAGGTCACCCCATTATAGGCAGAGGCGTGGGGGCGGGGGGTGCTGCCAAGAGCTTTGGAGTTCTGGCCTGGGTGGCTCAATCAGGGCTGGCTGGGCAGGCCTGGGACCCTGGGCCCTTCTGGAAGGGTCTGGCTGGTTCTCCTCAGTGGTTGCTCTTCAAAGGGTAGCCGTGAGTGGGACCACTCTTCTCTGTCCCTAGCATTTAGATGAGCCACCCTTCCTGCCATCTCAGAGATCTACAGGTGCTACTCCTATTTGTTGTGTTTTATTTTGAAGAGAGATGGGGTACAGCTCCCGGAGAGGCCCCTAATTCTGCCAGTTTTTCCAGGTTCCTGCTGGCGGGAGGTGCCCCCTGACCCTTTGCCTCTGGACTTGGTTTTCTTCTCTCAGGGCGGGGGAGGCTGATGGGGACCACAGGGCAAGAAGGTCAAAGCAGAGCTTCAGGCTGTGTTGTCCATCCTGTCCCAGAAGCCTTTGTGCAGAAAGTCCCTGGGCTGCCCTGTAGCTTGCTCCTTCTCCCTCTCCCTCTCCCTCTCCCTCCCTCTCTCCCTCTCTGTCTCTCCCTACTCCTCCTCCCCTCCTCTCTCCTACCCTTTCCCTCTCGCTCTCCCCAGCAGCTCTAATGTGGGACTAGGGAGGTCTTCATCAGAGGACTTGGAGGGATTGCTTGAAACTCGACACTATCGGACTCTTGAACGGGAGGGAGGGGCGGCGTGTGCACGCGTTTCATCCCCACTCTTTGTTGTGATCAAAATCCAAATATTGACTATAGATCTAGATCTTTGTGTCCTTGCCTTGGAAAGAAAGCCTTGACACCTTGACTGTGTTCTGAGTCTCCTGAGACTGAAAGCTGGGGTTTGGGCGACATGCTCTGCTTCCATCCTGTTCACACTCCCAGCTTATGGTCTGGGAGGGTGGTGGGGTGGGGAATATAAGAGATCAGGGCATGGAAGGTTTTTCCTGCCTGGACCACAGAGATGCATGCTGCCTGCCTGGGATGGGGGTTGAGGGGGTGGGGGAGGGCGGGGGCAGGGAACCTGAGATGGGGCATGGTGGTGGCGGTGGGGCCAGGATGGGCTGAAATCACTTGTCCCTGCTGACTGGTGGGTTTAGACCACAGTGAGCCCTTGGGTGATTGGGAAGCAGGGGGTGAGACACAAAGCAAGGTGGGGAAGGGAGGGACTTGCTGTTTGTAGCTTTCTGCCTTTGGGTTCTCTGGCATCACTAGCTGGGAGAGGGGTGGTGGTGCTCAGAGAACCCTGCCCTCAGAGGTGGCCCAACCCTCACTTTACCAATAAGGAAACAGACTCAGAGAGAAGTGAGCTGCGCAGTGGCTAGGATTTGGATGACTCCATCTCCTGTTCTGTCTCTCAAACTTTGTTGTCCTTTCAGGGCATGATTTTGAAAAGGAGTGGAGGCTAGAGTGGGAAGAACGCTTACTGTTTTTCGGTCAGAGGCTGGCTCTCCCAGGTCACTCCAGAAGACTGGCTCAGGGAGGCAGAGGATGGACACTCTGCTGTGGGACAGGCAGTATGTTAGGTAGTCACAGACATCGTCTCATGGAAATGTTCACAGCCCTCTGCGGTAGATATTATTTATCCTCAGTGCGCAGATGGGGAACTCGAGCTCAGAAAAGTTGTCAGCTGTGGGGAAAGGTAGGGTATGGCAAATGGAGTCCAGCAGCTGACCTGGGACCATGTGGAGTGATGATGTTCATTCACATTGCTTCCTAAGGTGGTTGTGGTCCGTGTGGAGAGGGTCTCAACTCTGACAAGAGGGGGAGTTGGAGGAAAGTGCTGACTACCTCCATCCTCAGGTCATTCTCTTCTTCCCAACCTCTGAAGCCAGGGGATGGGTTTGGCTTCATTTGGTACCTCTTCAGATGAACTCTGGGCACCACCCCAGGTTGATACCTGTGGCCAGGTCTGGTTCCTCTTGAACAGCCACACCTACTTCACCCTGCTGCCCTGCTGCTGCAGCAGCCTCCCCCCTCAATTGGCGGCTCCCCTAAGCAGGGCCAGCCACAGGCCTCCAGGGCAGCAGCTGCTGCTGGTCTGAAGAGGCCAATTCTTGGCTCTGGGATTTCCCTGGAAAACTCTGGCTTCTTGGTTATTCAAGCTACTATAGTGGTGAGAGCCTGGGCATAAGGGAAAGTCCATGGGTATGCTAGTTTCTCTCTCTCTCTCTCTCTCTCTCTCTCTCTCTCTCTCTCTGTCCCTCCCTCCCTCCCTCTCATCTGGCTCCCCTGAGGAAATGCAACTTCTTGGCCAGAAGCTTTTGAGCTTTGCTGTCTTCCTAGAGCTTGCTAGGGGTGGATGAGTTTGAGCCTCTTCCACTACAGGCCAGAGACTGAGCTGATCTGGCAAAGAGCTAGAGTTTTGGAGTTCCACCTTCTGGGCTAGAGGATAAAGTGAGGGGAGAAGTAAGAGTTGGAGGTAACTCCATAACCTGAGAAAGAGCTGGTAAACCACCTCACACCTAGGTGGACAAAGACACCTGCTGGCTTTATTCTGGGGGGCAATGCGGCTTCCCCCAGAAGGCCTCTCCAGTACACCTGTGGCCAATCTTGGCAAAGAAAGAATGCTCTAGATTAGGTGTTGTTAAAGTGTGGCCCACAGGCTAAATGCAGCCTGCTGTTTGTGCAAATAAAGTTTTATTGGAAGAAAGTCATGGTCATTTGCTTATGTATTGTCTAAGGTTGCTTTCCTATGACAATGGCAGAGACCATATGATCTGCAAAGCCTAGGGTACTTACTGTCTGGTCATTTACAAAAAAGTTCACTGAACCCTGCTCGAGACTGCCAAAGATCTGGGCTCCCGTTTCTCTGGTCTGATCTGGTCTTCCATCTCCAAGATTGGAGAGGCCCCCGGGACTGAGGAGATGAGCCTGGCCAAGAAGGGAAGTGCCATGAAAACAAAATCAGGAAGCAAGGGAAGAAAAATAAACACCTGGGATGGTTGGGCACCTATAGAGCTAGACCTGCCTGGCACAAGTGAAAGCGGAGCCATCTCCTGACCCCTTGACCTCTCCCTTCTCTGGCTGGTGCTGCTTTAGCTCTCCCTAAACATGGCCAACAAGGGACCTTCCTACGGCATGAGCCGAGAAGTGCAATCCAAAATTGAGAAGAAGTACGATGAAGAGCTGGAGGAACGGCTGGTGGAGTGGATCGTAGTGCAGTGCGGCCCCGATGTGGGGCGCCCGGACCGTGGGCGCCTGGGTTTCCAGGTCTGGCTGAAGAACGGCGTGGTGAGTGGCACCCTGGGAAGGGGTTGGGGCTGTGCCATCCTGCTGGAGTCGTGGGGCAGGCACTCCGAGCCAAGTGCCAAGCTGCGTTCTATGCCTGGCAGATTCTGAGCAAGCTGGTGAACAGCCTGTATCCTGATGGCTCCAAGCCAGTGAAGGTGCCTGAGAACCCCCCCTCCATGGTCTTCAAGCAAATGGAGCAGGTGGCTCAGTTCCTGAAGGCAGCGGAGGACTATGGGGTCACCAAGACTGATATGTTCCAGACTGTTGACCTCTTTGAAGGTACGGAGAGAAAAGGGGTAGGGGAGGCAGGTGAAGGACAGGGACGAGTAATGGCCAGAGCACTCCCCAGTAATGGGTCTGCATAGCGGGAATGGGATATGCCAAGGCAAGGCCACACCACACTCACAAGAGCATACCGTGGGACTTACTGAAGCCTCTTTGGATTCTGGGACAAACTTGGCCCCTGCATCGGCCATTTTGCTGAGAGGTGGGGGCAGGCCCTGCCTTGGAAGCCTTGTTTACACAGTCCTGAAGTTTGTCCCCCGCCCTTCTTTCCTTTCACAGGCAAAGACATGGCAGCAGTGCAGAGGACCCTGATGGCTCTGGGCAGCTTGGCAGTGACCAAGAACGATGGGCACTACCGTGGAGATCCCAACTGGTTTATGAAGTATGTGGCCACTCTACACTTAGGTCTCTGCTGACCTGTGAGTGTGAGGGATTTGGGGAAGCAGATGGCCAGGAAGGTGCAAAGTGAGGGTCTCACATAGGGAGAAATGGGTCCCTAATTCTTCTTTTTTTTTTTTTATTAGTTTCAGGTGTACAGAACAATGCAATAGTTATCCTTTTCACCCCTCTTGACTCTTCCTTTTCTACCCTTCTGTGCTCAACCAGTCTCCCTAGCCTGTGGGGGGCAAGCTAGATGAATGAACAAGAGAAGTGAAACGGAGAGGGAATGGGATCGAGCTAGGAATAGAGGAAATAGAAAACAGGTGGAAAGTGTGTAGTCCTGGCAAATCTTTATACTGGTTTCTCTTTTTCTAGGAAAGCCCAGGAGCATAAGAGGGAATTCACAGACAGCCAGCTGCAGGAAGGAAAGCATGTCATTGGCCTACAGATGGGCAGCAACAGAGGGGCCTCGCAGGCCGGCATGACGGGCTACGGACGACCTCGGCAGATCATCAGTTAGAGGGCGAGGGCCAGCCCCCAGCCCCGCCCTGCCCCAGCTCATTGGCTGCAGCCATCCCACCTAGCCCAGCTCACCCACACCTGTATAGTTCCTTCAGCCCTGGCCAAGCTTCGAGTCTCCGAGTCTCCGAGGCTCCCGCTCCGTCACTGAGCAAAGGTGACTGCGCTTGGGCAACTCTCCCCACCCCTCAGCCTAAGCCCAATCTCTTACCCCAAAGCACCACTCCCCGGGCCCTCCTCCCAGCCCCCCACCACCTCTACTGTGTCTTCCTATCCTGGGCTGAACAGGGTGGGGTGGGCTGGGCGTGGCCTGGGCGTGGGGCAAGTCCACTGTCCTCCTTGGCAGCAGATGCCCATTGAAGGAGACCCAGCCCAACCTCCCCTCCATTTTTTGCTGGAATATTTTGGGGGTTGAATTCAAAAAGGAAAAAATATATATATATCAATCTTTTCTCAGGCCTGGCTGGCAGAGTCTGATTTGCCCTAGTCACTTCTGTGTGGTTCGGGAAATAGGACCATCTGCTGGTCCTGGCCGCTGTCCTCTGAAGGACCCCTCACATTCCATGATTCCAGGGGGTCAGCTCTTTCAGAGGGCCCGGCAGTGGAAGAGGAGAGTACCTTTCAGGGGCTGGCAGGAAGGAGGAGCCACTGGCAACTTGCATTCACTTTGGGGAGGCAGAGGAAAGGCGATGGGGAGAGGCAGAGTTGTGTGGAAGGCTTTTATTTTGGAAAGGCTGTGCAGAAAATAATTCAAAACGTTGCTGTGAAAAGAGAAAACCAAACCTTGAGTGTTAAAAAAATTTTTACATCAACCAACTAGCTCAGGAGACGGGAGGGAATGGAAGAGTCACAGCCCGACAGGCAAGACAGCTGGCCTCTGGTGGGGAAGGCCATTTCCCTGAGCACTTTGCAGAGGACGACAGCGCGGGCACAGGGCTGGGGTGGCAGTGGCTGGCACCTGTCACAGTCCTTTGCAGACTCCCCTATGAAGCAGCACAGCCCTGGGGGCCATGCCCACCCCCAGCTTTGCCAGGAGCATAGTACCGATCCTTCAGGATGAAGGGTGGGGGCGATGGTGAAGGAGTCAGGGGTGTGTTCACGGTTGGCTTCTGATTAGAGATAATGGAGGCAGCTGCTTTCAGGGCAAGTGTGTGGGCTGAGGGCTTGAATGCGATACCAGTATGTCCAAGGTCCAAGGCTTAGGCAGGAAGGTGAGGGAGACAGGAAAGGTCCTCTGTTTCTAGGTCCTGGATCATTAGGTGGACAGGCATATCCAGGGGCTCTTCTAAACCCCCACCCAAGTCCTCTTCCCAAGTGACCCCAGTGATGTTTCTGCTGAGGTGCCCTTCTGGCCATGGCAGGTACCTTCTCACCCATGCATGGTGGGGGTCCCTATGACCTATACCACGGGCTTGCCCGGGAGAAATGAGGATGGAGGCCTGCTCAAAGGGGGATGGGGGACAATCCCTTGTACAAGACCTTCTCACCAAAAGCTCCTGTTCGGTTTGAGGAAGATCCAGTGGCTGTTGCCACACTGCCCTCTGGCACGATTCCTCTGCCACTTGTACCTTAAGAAAGCCCTGGCCCTCCCTGAGCATAGTCAGAGGGTGCTCTTAGCCTCTGGATTCCAGACGTAAGCATCAGGACTGCCTTCTCCCAGAGCTCCTGGGACTCTGGAGCAGCTATCCAAGCTTCCCCAATTTGGGGAAGGAAGAGTCTAGCCGATGTCGAGTCTGTCAGGCCCTGGGTCAGCAAATCTGCTCCTTCGCCTGCAACAGGTCTGGGGGTAGGTGCTGATGAGGGCAGTCTAGGGCACTCCTGTTCTGGGACAGGCTCCAGTCCCCTTGATCCAGCAGGTCTGGGGCAAGGAGACCAGAGGTGCTGGGAGGGCCTTCACTTTCTGTCTCCACTCCATCTGGATCCTTGCTGTTGTAAAGTGGCACTGATTCTAGTTCTGTCCCCTCCTCCCTGGCTTTTCGGCTTCGTTGGGGCCAACGGCAGGGTCCACTCCTACAAACCGGGTGAGAGGCCACATTCTTCTGGCTCAGGTATACTTCCAGCATGTAGTAAACAGTCCAGAAGACGGTAAAACAGCCGACCAGCACCAGGGTCTGGGGAAAAGTCCACCGCTTAAATCAGGGAGTTTCCCAAAGCCTGCAGCTTTTCTCAGCCCAGAATAATGAGCTCAGCAAGTCTCTCCTACTAGGGACTGCCTCTCCCACCCCAAACCACTCACCCCACATACACAAGGAACGCCCTCTGAGAGTTAGCTAGCAGAGGGACGACCCTGGCCTCCCCACCCCCTCTACCCATTACCTTGTGTATCCCACCAAGGACTAACTCCTCCAGGACACTCCTGCCTGTCTGCAGTGTGAGTCTTGGCCCTGATACCTTAAGGGTGTTAGGGGTGATGGTGTAACCATCTTCCTCAGGAATTTTCAGCCCAGGAGGGCAAGGCAGAATGAAGCCATCATGCAGGTATTTTCCACTCATGGCACCTTCTAATAGTCTGTGGAGAAGAAGAGACAGGGATGCCCTACTGAACTTGGTACCACCTGCTCTCTCACCATCCTCCCACCTTAGAGCTGAGGGGAGGGGTGCATTGTGGGTTCTCAGGGTGGGGGGGTTCCCTAAATGGCCTGTTTCCCCAATCCCCAAGAGTTGCTTTCTTTCTGACATGTGTCTATACCTACCTCTGTCTGTCCCTGATGTCTACTGGACTCCACACAGAGCCATATAGGGTCAGCTGCCATTGACGGAGGATGCCAGCTTGGGACGTCTCATCTCCTAGGGCAGCAAGTGCAGCAGTCCGTGAACCATGCCCCTCTGGTCAGCCATGCAAACAGCAGAGGCCCTGCCCTCACTGCCACCTAAACGGACTCGGCCACATGGTCTGCTGCAGTTGTCTGTGTCCCACTGACCTCAGGGTTCTGCAGATGTGCCTTATACAGTGTCCTCAGAGATGGGAACGGGGAGGTTGAAAGGTAGTACTCTGAAGCAGAGAAATTTTGCCTTTACCTCTTTCATATTTTGGGGTTTCAGCTAGAATTTTGCTTAAAAAAAAGTCCTTTTACTAAATTAAAGAAAGGTTTGAAAACCACTGGTCTAATGAATACCTAACTTGACTGGAAGATGGGAGGGTTGGGTTCAATTTCCAGTCTGCTCAATGAAATACTGTGTGACCTTATGCAAGTCACTTCAAACCTCTGGGTGGGCCTCAGTTTTTCCAAAATAATGGTGAAAATTAGTCCTGCCCTTACCTGCCTACCAGGGCTAACCGAAGGATGATTATATGTGAAAGGACTTGAAATGTGGTTTCAACAAGGAATTTTTGTTGCTGTCCTGAGGTAAAATGGATCAGTCACTTCTCGAAGGAATATGAGTAGTATAAATGAACAATTTTAGATATCAACGCTCATTTTTTGGATGGGGCATACTTCTTGGTATCTACTCTATTGGTCCAGTGGCAACCCCATGTATTCTACATGGGACAATTTCTGTGGAGGACTCTCAGATCCAGAGGGGCCAAGATGACAATCACGAAAGGCAGGGCCCTGATGGAAGGGCAGGCCGGCTCACCTACATCCCTGACGACGAGTTTGTAAATCCCTCTCGCCCTTTCCCCCCAACATCGCACAGTGGAGAAGGTCCAATCGTTGAAGCCATTAGGATCCCTGGGGGAAAGAACAGAGTAGAAAACCTGAAAGGCACGGGGCAGGGAACTGATCCTTTTGCCCGGAAACATTTTCTTACTGTAGTAGCCATGAGAATGTAGCAGTTGTTGCCTGCCTGAGCTACAGCCATTTGGGACGATGCCATGAGGGGTCCTCACATGCTGTCCCTTGCCCCTGAGATTTCATGGGATGAGGGATTTGTGTCAATGTGTTGTAGTGGAAAAAGCAAACGTTGGGTGAGCACAGGCTGGGGAGTCTGACAGATCTAAGTTTAGTGTTACTTTCTCAGGCACTTACTAGCTCCGTGACTTGTTTCTTCATTTGTAAAAGGAGGTTGGAAAGTCTCCTCTTTATGGTTCTTACAAGGATTAGAAAAAATAAATGTAAAGCGCAGTGCTTAGCACATTGTAAGTACTTGCACAAAGCGCACAATAAATGGCTGCCAACTGCCAAGGCCAGCCAGTGCCATGATAACTTAGGACAGTGCCAGTGTCCATTTCTCCTGTATCTTTCCCTTGGAAAGGCCCTTATTGCAAAGAGAGCTCAGAAGGTACTTACGAGTCCATGCTGCGGGGGGCGCCGATAAGGGACATCATGCCGCTGGGGCAAAAGAGTTTCAGTTCCAAGCTGCCACGTCGCGGATGAGTGATGGAGACCGTCACTGCCACATGCTCCAGGGTCTTCAGCCCCGACATCTCCAGGTCCATCCTGCTGACTGTAGGAAGTCAGGCTGGGCAGCTGGGAAACCAGCCCCATGAACACGTACGCCCTTACTTCATCCCAACATACACGAAGTACATGCTCATTGAAGCCACATATGAATACCATGGCACCTGACTGGGGCCAAGTGTACAGGAATGTGGTAAATGCTTTCAAGGACTTTACAGTCTAGTTTAGAATCCACGTGGGAAGACAACACAAACCGAAGACACAATATAAGAACTAAATGGAGCAACTTCAACCGTTCATTCACCCAAAAAATAATTTACTGAGTACCTCCTATATTTCAGGCACTGTACTAGGTGCTGGGAATATAAAGATAAGTTGGACATGGTCTCTGCTTTCTACCTGCAAGTGGAAAATGAGATGGCATGAGATATACATTACTGATACTAGAACAGAGATGAGTCAGATGGGTTTAGGCACATAGCAGTGAGACACTCTGAAGAAGAAATGAATGCAGACTGGTAGAAAGGATTGGTAGAGTATTCTAGAAGGGAAAATGGCATGTACAAAGGCAGAGGTAGAAATAAACAAGTTTCATACTGAGGGCAATACAGAATTAAAAAAAACACCTACTGAGGGGCCGGCCGAGTGGCGCAATGGTTAAGAACTGGCTTGGGACGCCAGAGGGCCCCGGTTCGGATCCCACATATGAGGGCCAGTGACACTGCCCTCTACAGCTAAGATGCTGCACAACAGCTCAACCTGGAGCTGGGCTGCCGTGAGTCGCCGCCGGTGACGGCGTAGGCTGCAGCCCCTGTGGCAGTGGGTTGCCATGGGCTACCGTGTGCAGCAGCAGCCAGCGTGAGCGGCCAGCAGTGCGGCCGTCCAGAAGCCGGCGACTGATCTGCCTCGCCCGGGAAGAGCGCAATGATGGTGCCAACTTGGGCCAGTGAAGCAACGTCCTCCACAACTAGATTGAAGAGCAAAACAACAGCAACTTGTCTGTTCCCATCCCCCCAACTCCCCAATAAAAAAATCTAAAAAAACCCCCAAAAAACCTACTGAAATGAATGAACTTCAAGGAAATTATGCTGAACGAAAAAGCCAAACTCAAAAGGATACATAGTGCATGATTTCATTTATGTAATATTCACAAATAACTGTAAAGATGGAGACAGATTAGTGGTTGCCAGGCTTTGGGGATGGGGCAGAGGGGATGGATGTGGCCATAAATGAGTGACATGAGGAGTCTTGTGGGGATGGTATTGTTCTGGATCTTGCTCACGGTAGTGGTTACACAAGGCTACACATGTGGTAAAACTGCACAGTGCCACACTCACACACAGATATAAGTGCATGTCTAACTGGTGAAATCGGAATAAACTCTCTAGGTGGTACCAATGTCATTTTCTTGGTTTTGGTATTGCACTCTTGTTTAAGACATTAACATCGGGAGGAGGACACCTAGAATTTTCCTGAACATTTCTTTGCAACCTTCTGTGAATCTACAATTATTTCAAAATAAAAAGTTTAAAAAACACAAATGCCTGAAGGAGAAGGTTGAATTGGGGAATATTAAGAAATCAAGTTGCAACGAGAAATAATTCTTTCTAAAGCTCCTTTTCTCCTGGTAATTCATTCATTCCAACAGGCAGGGCAGAGAGCAGCACCTCTGTTTCACAGATGAAGAAGGTCAGACAGGTGCTGAAAGTTGGGGCAGGGACCGAGGATGAGAAGGGTTTTAAGAATTTATTTTAGATCCCTTTGTAGTTCATAAGTGTGATGACTGGGTGTCACACTCTTGTGTGACATGTGCCTCCCTCAAGTCTTGTTATGACAGTGGCACATTGCCTATCCGACATGAGAAAAATTTATTTAAACAAGCAACCGAGAGCCATTATAGATTATTGAGCAAGGATAGAGTTTTTGTTTTTGTTATTTTTTGTTTTTGTTTTTAGTGCTTATGGAAGGTTAATCCTAACAGCCCTGGGTAGGATGAACTGGAGTAGGAAGAAACAAGTGACAGGAGGCCAGCTAAAATGCTGCTGCCTTATTGTAGGATTGAGGCGGTCTGAGCACGGATAACTAGGATTGAAGAAGAGGAAAGGAAAGGCACGAGCCTTTCTGTGACACTTTCTGTCCCTTCCCAGACCCTGTGCCTACTGGCCTGCTGCTCAGTGACCCTCTCACTGTATTCATGGAAGAGTGCCACCCCCCATTATCCACTACGACACTAGTGTTAATGGGTCTACTTATCTGATGTCCTAACTTCACATTTCTTTACCTCCTCAGCTCCAAAGACCTTTCTCCATCCCATGTCTGCACCCACTTCCATGAACAAAGCCTGGTCCTTGTCATTATCTGGGACTGCCCACTTCTGAATGCTTTAGTAACTTTCTTTGTGGCTTTTATTATATAAACAAACACAAACTGACAGAAGACGAATTAAAAAAGCAGTTGATCAAAAATGAAAACGAAAAAGCTCCCACAACTCTTGATAACATGTTGGTAAATACCCATCTAGATGTCTGTGTATGTGTGCATGGCTGTATTTTCTGTAATTCCATCTGTCAGCTCTTCGAAGCCAATACCTTACCTTCTCTGAAAGCAACCTCTTGTCCTTCCACCTTTCCCACTGCCTTCTTGACCCCTTTATTTTCTTGCTCTTTAAGAAATCCATCAAGTTCCTCTTTCTTAACAGGCAAAGATCCCACAGCTCATCTCCCCAACACTCACTTATTTACACTCTCAAGTTCCCTTTGCTTTCTTTTCCTTTCACGGTAACTATGTGGCAAAAGCCCAAAACTCAATCAGCCCAATTATCCGTTTTCTTGGCTGGATCTTCTTGCTTATGTATTTGCTACTGCACATGAAAAACAAAAACAAACCCTTCCTCAACTCTTCACTTCTTTCTGCCTACTGTCAAGAGCTTGGACTCCAGCCATCCAGCCTGGGTTCAAATCCCAGCTCTGCCTTTTGCTAGCTATGAGAACTGGATTAGTTTCCTTAGCTGTAAAAACCTACTTCATAGGGTTGATGAATTAGTTAATACATGTAAAGCGCTTAGACTCGTACTCAGTAAATATTAAGATTATGTATTAGATATCATTCCTTTTCTTTGCTGTCAAACTTCTTGAAAAAGATGTCTATACTCCTTATCTCTACTTCTTACCCTCCCATTCATCCTTAACATTTCCCCCCCCTATCACAACAGTATAGCATACTTGGGTTTAAAAGTAAACTGGTTCTGGAGTGCTTACAATATAAAAAAGCAGTTCCCTACCCTGTTCCCACAACCTTTGTCATCCACTCCCCGTAAGAAAACACTTTTGATTGCTTTTAGTTGTTTTCTTCTGGAATCTACCTTCATATTTCTAAGTAATAAGCATGGATGGCTATTGCATGGTTTATGAATTTTATGCATTATTTTATCAACTTTCGATCATAACAGGATTTAATATCATGCCTAGCACCTTCTCCCCACCTTGCCTTCTACTCTGCTTTCTCAACATAATTATATCACAATATTTGGTTAGATCAACATTTTGTTTACCATACAATGACCTTATAAATGTATGGAATTTGGCCACTTCCAGAACAATTTGCTGTATTCTCCTCTGGAGTTAACTGCCGTGCTTTTTCGTTTACTTAAACTCATGTCCCTATCACTACTTCTTCCCAAACTGCACAAAAGAACCACCTAGCCTCGCTGAATAGGATTCTACAAACGAATGAACGCGTCAGTGCCACTTTCCGGCTGGAGAGTCTCTCTCTGGAACCTTCTGTCCCACTTGGATCTGCTGCACTGCTGCTGGGATGGGACCTTCGTTTACTGCTCACTGGGCTTTGCTTCCTCTTGCTCCCCTCTCCCTTTCTCTCTGCCCACCCCTTTCCTCCCTCCCTTTTCTTGGTTTCCCCTTCACTGCAGAGGAGCACATCTTCTAGCAGTTTTTAGACAGGTGGAGCATGAGAAAGACTTGTATGTCTGAAAGCTTCCTTATTCTACTCTCCTACATTATTAGTTAGGCTGGGTCTTAGTGATTGAAAATAATTTTCCTCAGAAATTGGGGGGGGTATTTGGAAGATTTTTTTCAAATGGACAGTGATCCCTATTACCTCCAAAAGCCAGTTGGAAACTCTAACCATTGGTGGAGCTTTTCAACTGGTGGGATTCCCTCAAGTTAACTGGACTGGGACTGGACTACTGCTTGGAGGGGCCCACATATCAGTACCATCTCTAAGTCTTTTGATGAGGGACGGTTCCATTTCTCCAGAGAGGGATCTTTCAATCTCCTGTCTGCCAGGGCCTTGGGGTTAGAGGGGCTGCTTGTTGGGAGGGTCTCCCTCTCTCAGTCCTCTCCGTCTCATTGTTGCTGTGAGACGGAGAGGACTGAGAGAGGGAGACCCTGGCTCCTGAGAATCAACTTTCCAATTCCTGGCCAGATAAGGAAGGGACCATCTTCTGGCTGCTAAGGATGCGGGAAGGCCCCTGGGAGTCTACCTCTTAACTGATCCCTGTTTTTAGTTTCATATCTCGTCTCTGTCCTCTGTAGTACACGGAGTCTCCAAGTACTCTGTGGGGATCTGTGGCGTGATTGGGCTTGTTTCTTATCTTAGTATCACCCTTGTAGGTATTTGCTATCCAATTTTCTTAGCCCTGCTCACTTCTCCATTCATTTCCATCTTCCAAAAATGATGAAATCTCTCATTTGCTATGGTTTCCTTTCTCATTCTCTTTGTCTTTGTGCTTATACCATTGTTATTCCTTCATTCTTATTTTGGTGAGGTTTTGAGAAAAATCAAAGATAAAAGCATGTGTTCAATTTGCCATCTTTCACCAGAAATCTTCTGTCCCCATTAATTATTCAACTGACTGCAATCTAGCTTGTGCCCCTATGAGTACATTGAAACAATTCTTTTCAAGGTCACCAATGGCCTCTTTGATAAAACCAGGGATGCTCCTCAGCCCTTGTCTACTTCCCTCTCTCACTGTCACTGTCCTCAATTCCGGTGATACTGTCCTCCTGCTTTTCTCCTATTCTCAGGCCATCTCTTCTCGGATGTTTTCTTCAGAGGCTCCTTTCCTCTGGCCACTCCTTTCGTGCTGGCTGTGTCCTGGGTCCTCTTTTATCCTTTGTCTACGCACCAACCCTGATGATCTCATTCTTTCCCAGACTCTTTTCATGCTGGTGACTCCCAAATCATTACCTCCAGTCTAGGTCTTCAAATTTATTTATTCAACTGCTTCCTGGATATAATCTTTAGATGACTCACAGAAGGCTAAAACATAGCAGAGCCAAAATTCTCTTCCTCAGTTTTTGACACTCTGTAGCCCTTGCCCCAAACTGTTCTTCTTTCTGGGTTCTTAATCTCATTTGATGGCATCGCCATCTAACCAGTTGCCCAAGTTAAAAACTTAAAAATCTTTTTATATATTAAAAAATATATTTATTTCTATAAATCTATTTATGTGACTTTATATACAAATCTTTATTATAGGACATTTTAGACATACATCAAAGTAGAGAGAACACTTGTTCTCGACACCTAACTTCAGTAATTACCTGTATGTGGCCAATCTTGTTTCATCACTGATTGCTACTTCTTCCCCTTCTCAGATTCTTTTAATGGAATCCCCAGGCATCAGATCATTTCATGAGTGAAGATTAGTATGTATCTCTAAAAGGTAAGGCCTTGAGGATCTCTTTCACTGCTGTCCTTCTCCCTTAATGCTAACATCAATTGGTAAGAATGTATCTTGAAGGCTCCCACAGACTTCAGAATTCCGAACTTCTTACCACGGCACACACAGTTCTACTGGCCCTGCTGCCTGCAGTTTCAGACCTTCTGCCCCTCATACCCCATGCTCCAGCCATACCACGTGACTCGCAGCTACCTGAAGATTCCATTGACTCTGCACAGGTTGCCCCTGCTGCCTGGATGTCCCTTTTTTCACCTCTTCTCCTAGCTAGCTTATATGGTGACACTCAGGTCAGTCACCAGTTTCTTAGAGAACCCTCCTCTGTTTTCTCTGGTGGCATGAGGCGTCTCTCCTTTGACACCCATGTCATCTTGATTGCAGGGATTATAATACTGCACTGTACCTGCAGACTGGACTGTCTTCCCTATCAGATTGTGAGCTCTTTGAGGGCAGGAATCCCTACAACTTAATACAGTGCCAGGGATGAGGTAGGTCTCAGTTATTTGTAGAATGAATGAATGAATCAATTAAGAGACATTCAGGGAAATAAATGGAAGACTAAATTGCAGGAGAAAGGACAGGGGAAGACATGGGGAGGGGCAAGGGATACAGAGGGACTAAAAACTCCAGAGTTTCAAGTTTGGGAGCCTAAGGAATGGTAATGGCACTGACAGGAACGGGGGAAGTTTGGAAAGCAAGCTGGCTTTTGAGAGGTGATAATGAAATCTAAAATCTCGTACATGTTAAATGTCATGTATTGGTGGAATGTCCAACAGCACATGATGATTTAGGACTGGAAAGATGAAGGGAAATATCCGTGGCACAGTTGGGGTAGAGCATTAACACAGCAGAGAAGGGGCTTATAGAAACAGAGAACAGTATGGAATGGAATGGGATCTAAAAAGAGCCCTGTGAGTGTTTGGCTGTGTTAGCACGCATACACAGTGGCATGCTACGTGCATTTTCTTATTGGTCTATATAGGGACTGGGTGGCCATATACGTGAGAGCACTACAATTATTTTGCTAGAAGCAAATGAGTTAATTCTTAGAACAGTGCTCAGCACATAAAAAGCACTCAAGTCTTAGTTGACGATCATCATTTATTATTTGGCCTTTGGGAGGTTGGTTTTTTTCCAACTCTTACCCTCTGGCCAGAGGATCCCAGGGCTTTATTTGCCCATAATCTTGTGGAAGCTATGAAAATTTCTCTCTTTAAGAATTAGATTTCGAGCTAGGAATCATTTGGGGAGGTTGGGGGAGAAGTGGTAGCTGAAGCCCGAAAACCAGCTGCACTGTAGAGGAGGAAGATGTTGAGGGAGGGTAAAGAACCATGGAATGAGTATAGGAGGTGCTCACGGCTGGGAGCGGCGGGACAAGCAAACAAGAAAACAAGTACCTGGGGCAGAGAAACTGGAAGAGGTTTGAGAGCAAGGAGGCCATGGACGCTGGAGGAGGAGAGAGGCTGCTACAAAGGCCTCGTCAACAGGGTTGAAGCAACAAAGAAGGTCAGGAAGGAAGAACTCTGAGCCAGCCCTGGACCTGACCAAAACCGGCGCCGTAACGAAGTGAGGTGTCAGTGGTGGAGAGAGTGTGTGATAAAAGCAAGCAATTGTTTCAGATAATTCATTTGAAAAGGTTACACGCTGAAGGGTGGCAGGGACTTGAATTTGTTTCCTAACAGGTGAACTGAAGATGTCTGAAAGCAGAAGGAAGAATCTGTACAGAGGGCAAGACTGGGTTGCAGAGGTAAGAGGTGGGGACGTGAAGGAACAGGGTTCACTGCCTAGGCAGAGGGTTAGCCACATACTCAGACTGCAAATGGAGAGAAAAGCGTAAGTGCAAGTGGTGTTCAGGAATCTTCTCTAAACACACACAGGTTCTCTCATATTTTAGACAGTCTTCTCAAACCCCACTCTCCCTCCTACCCTCTAGTTCAGCCTTGGAGTAAGTCTAAAGGAACCCAGGGGCCCCAATACTTTCCCCCATCTCCTCCTGCCAATGGGGAGAAATAAAAGCCTGTCTTGCTCTAAAGCTGCACTGCCCAACATGATAGCCACTAGCCACATGTGCATTTACACTGAATCATAATAAAATAAAATTGTAGTACCTCAGTCACACTAGCCACATTTCAAGGGTTCAATATCCTCAGATGGCCAGTAGCCACTGAACTTAGCAGCACAGATAGAGGACATGTCCATCATCGTAGAAAGTTCTCTTGGACACCACTGCTCTATCTTCCTAGTGGTATTTCACTTCCTCTTCTGTCTCAGCCATGTTCAGCCCCCTCCACCTTACAAAAACTTCAATTTCCAGTCTCTACGTGGACATCTTTCAACCTCCAAGCACACACACAAGCTTGTGCCTTCCGTTCTGTCTACTCAGGGGTGAGTGAGTCCCAACAGAGGGGAAGACACCTTTGCTGACCTCAGAAATTGCAGCCAAGTCCTGCCTGCCACCCTGCAAACTGATGACCGGGTCCGCCAGCAAAACCCCCAGAGTCTCTACCTCCTTTGGCGTCACCCTCTCTCTCCATTCCAACACCCCTCAGCCTCCTCTACCCAAGAGTCTGTCCTTTCTCATGCTTCCTTGTGACAAACGAGCAGTTGCCAAATGCCTCTGTACCTACAGAAGTTTGTCAGACATGCTGGGGCAACGTCCTTGGTTAGTGGGAAACAGAGGATGACAAAGCTAGAAAGGGTCCTAACTCTCTCCTAAGCGGACCCCTCATTTGACAGATGTGCCTGTGGGTTACTTTGTTCCTTAAGTGATAGAAGGAGGTGCTGGGTCAGAGGCAAAAGTTAAAAGGCACACTAGCTCTGAGACACAGGAGTTTCCAAATCAAAGCCTGGGGTTTCGACTGATCTGCATTCCTGGGGCTGCTCCCGAACTTCTCTGCCTTGGGCGATGCTTCACCCAAGACAATTCCTTTTATGGACAATTCAGTGAACTGCACCCAAGGATTCCTTCCACCTAGAGGTGGGCAAGCACTGGACATGCTTAGGGAGAAGGACGATGGACTCTTCCCAGTGATGCCTCCACCCGAGGGAAGCTGCCCCTGACCTTCCTTTCTGAGCTCCCTTCTTTCGTCATTCTTTCTCTGTCATTGCTCTGGTTTGATCACTTCCTACATGGATGGGAAAAGTGAGAATGGCGTTCTAGTTTGGGCACAAAACATGACATGCTTCGATCTTCACAAAAAATAGCGAATAACTGTCAAATTTTCTCAAGGGGGAAAACAGATTCCCCCAAGGAGCTAGAGGTAGGGAAACCCTCAGGTGGGAACTCCGGGAACGCTGCAGACAGATGACCCTCTAGCACAAACTTCCCAGCCCAGCTTCCGTCTTCTCTGGGAAGGGACTCAGCTTCAATGCTCAACACAAAACCACATCTCTGACTTACAGACCTCAGACAACCCCAGTGACCCTGGGTGTGACGGACACGGCGGCAGACTGGCAGCTACAGCCTAGGGAGATGTTCAGATTCTCCTGTCCCACCTCCAACAGACCCCATGTGACTCTCTCTGTATCAGACAAGGCTGAGAATCAAAGGAAGAAATTCCCAACTCCTTTACTTCACCCAAAGGCCACTGGCAAGTTCTCAGCATGGAAGTCAAAGGAACATCTTTCAGCTCTTGCCTAGTCTCCCCAAGTCCGCTCCCACTGCCCCCACCAGCCTTTCTCATCAGTTGCTCAGCAGCTCCTTCTCCCTACTAGTAACTTGGGCAGGCGCAAGGGCTTGTGTAAGCAGCCAGGGGGGCAGCCAACTCAGAAGCAGCAACATGTCCTAAAATGGTCAAAGAAAACTCCACAGGTTTGGCTGGAGCTCAGCTCCTAAAGATCCCAGGGAGGATGAGTTCCCCATCACCCCGCCCAACCTCAAGCCCAAGATTAACCCCCTTTCTGCTGACTACTTACCATTCCACAGCACCTCCAGTGAGTTGGGGGACAGCGGGATAGCCTTGTTCTCTTTTAACAGGGGGCTCACGTAGGAAGCTAAGTAAGGGACAGATGTCCAGATCTGTTAAATGAAAGGGGGGTTTGGGGGGTGGATGAACAAACAAGACTGAATTCTCTCTCTCTCTCCGTCCCTCCCCTCCCATCAACTTGATCTTTAGGACCCAGCTCTCTATTTCTTCTCTCCTTTCACTTCTGAGGCTCCCGTTGACACCCTGGAGTGCTCCCTATGACACTAAATCAAGGGGCCAGAGGAAATGGCTGTGTCCAGGGTGGAAGATGAGAGCCAGAGCATCCTGACAGTCCCAAGCTGTGCTCAGGTCCCATTTACTCCCCGCGAATGGTATGGAAACTTCAATTATAGTGCTGAGCCTGCTTCTTCATTTATAAAATGGCTATCAGCTGGGATGAGGGTAAATGAATGAATGAACGTTAAGCACTTACAACATGCCAAGCAATGGTTCAGGCATTGCCCTCCCTTGGTTACTCTACGCAGGGCTCCCTGCCCTGTCAACACCTGTTCACCTTGGCTGCATTAACGAGTCTCCAAGCATTGAGCAGGCCGAATCCATGCTGGTGGCTGTGGCTGAAGCCTGCCTCGTTGGTGACCCAATCTGCACGGTGATCCTCGTACTGAGAGGACAGAGGTCCTGGTTAGTCTCTTGGGTTTCCAAAGTAATCTCCACAACCTAACTCTGGCTTCCCTGCTTGCCTTGCTGGCTGATCCAATCCGGGCTCCCCCACTCAGGCCCCTGGGAATGGATTCCCCAAGGAGAGCTGGGACAAAAGGTCAAAGCCCTGTGATGTCACTACCCTAATGGCGGGCTTCTAGAGAGAAAGCCAGGAGGCACAGGCTCCAGAGAGATCTCCTTTGCAGGTAAAATGGCATCAGCAGAATAGGTACACACGAGGTGAGGTCGGAGGTCTTGATGGGGCCCCCACCACTGTTCTATATACATGCAACTCTGAAAGGGATTTAGCACCTAACGTTTAGGATCTAAAGCCTCCTGATACCTGCAAGTCAGTTGGAACCAGAACTCTGGGGTAGGCGGGGCCAGGCCGTCTGTCTTCCTGCTAGGATCTCACCTGGGTGGCTGTGAAGACAATGATGTGCTGGATGTCACGCCATGTGAGGCAGGGCCGCACCTGCAGCATAAGGGCTATCATGCCAGCTGCCAGGGGGGCTGCGGCTGAGGTCCCAGTGTGGCCCTCAGTGCAGCCTGTGCCCTTCTGAAGGTCCCAGTCAGTGGTCACCTGGGAAGTGGAATGAGGGGAGGAGGATCGGGTTAGAGACTGCATTCACAGGTGCTGTGGTGGGCAGGGTACAGACTTGTCTTCAGAACAAGTCTCTCAGGCGGACCCTTCCTTTGTGAGGGCTGAATCTTTGACGGAGGGAGGCCCACAGGACAAAGGGGATCCTCAATCCTTCTAGGACTCAAAAGAGACTCTCTGGAGAGCTGAGAAAGGAGAATACAAATTAAAGAGTTACTTATGAGGGTCTGGTTGTGGGGGAAAGGAGATGGAGCCATGGGAGAGGCCTTCGAGCAGAGGAGAATTTCCTGACTCCTGCTGCTCTAATAACCCATTCCCAAACTCTCCACCCTAACCATCCAGTCCCAACCCTCCAGATCCCAAAACCCTGCTAGGCAGAGGAAGTGGCCAGGGAGCTCCTGGGCCCCAGCTGGAGCCGGGACAACAGTGACAGCACCATTCAAGGAAATCCAACTTGGCAGCTCAGGAATAAGGGGCTGGGGTGACATCAGTGAGAACCAAGGGAGTGTGTTCCCAGGGAGGAAGGGACTGTTCCCTTGCCCACCCTGTGGGCTTGGCATGGGACTACTGTCTACACTGCTTGTCCGCCCTTGCCTGTGGCAATCGACAGGACGAGCTGCCTCACTGCTTTGGGCCTGGTGCCTCAGTGTGGTTTCTATGAGTCCCCCTTTCTCTACCTGTGTTTCCGAGTGAAGGGTGAAGGTCAGGGTGGGAAGGAGGAGAGTTCCCTGCGGGGGAGGGAAGGCATCTGTCTCGCATCAAATTCTTTTTATGCTCTAATGAACCCTGGAGCCACAAAGGGTTTTAGCTGAGGAGGGCCCCGCCTAAATCCACTCCACTATTGGCACTTTGGATGAAGCACATGGTGCCAATGTTAAGACCAGAGAATGTTTTTCTTCCAAACTTCTCTTCTGGGTCAGATACCCGGGTCCTAACGTCTGCCAAGAGCTGCCCTTTCTCTATTGTACTCACTGCTTCCCTTCCAGCTGTTACAGCAGCTGCCAAGGGATGTAATTTTCACTCAGACACCATGCACACCCAGAAGAAAAGAGAAAAAACTCCAAGTTGTAGTCTCAATGAGAGTGGGAAGGCTGGTCTGTGCCAGGGAGCAGACTGATTTTTTTCCTGTTAAGGAAAGAACCTCACAGTGACGGTCATGTGTAGCTGTGAGGCCCATGAACTTGCCTACGGTGGCAGGAGCCCCAGCCACAGGGAAGTCCAGGGGAGTGACCCTGGAAGCCAAATGGTGGGTAGTATGTGCCTCCACACCCTGCCCTCAGGAAGACAGCTCCACCTAGCTGGTCACTGAACAGAAACTGGCAACAGGAGGTTTGCAAGGCATGGACATGCCAAAAATGGGAACTTGGCAAAACGAACTCTTTCATTTCTGGACAAGTTATAGTTCCGATGGAAGGTGGTGGTGGGGGTAAGAAGTGGAGTTGAGTTAGGAGAAAAGCCAGGCCACTCTGAGCCAGACTGACGATTACGCCTGGGGAGCCCCACTGGGACCAGGAGGAAGCCAGTTCCTGAGAGCTCTGCCAGGGTGTGAAGAGCACAGCTCGTTCCTGCGCTTCCTCCTAGCCCAGGATGGCCTGTGGGGGCGCAGGGGGGTGCCCTCTGCACCCAGACCCCTGTCTGTCTGCGGAGCAAAGCCTCTCGCGCTTTTACTTTCGTCCACTCTCTTTTCTCTTCTCCCCGGGAAAGAGGAGGGGGACTAGGGGTCAACTGGCACAGAGCCTTGGAACATTTTGTTGACCAGAAGTCATTTACTGGCAGAACAAAATTTCAGTTTTGGAAAATGAATTTGACCCAGCAGGAGACAAAGCAGCCTAATTCCCAATGGTCCCATAGAGACCTCCTAACCCAGCCACTGGAGAAATCTGACACCACCTGGCTCTAGCCCAGCTCTCGCCCGGGAGCCCTGGCCCCATGTTACTCTATTATAGGCAGCAGGGACAGGCAGGGAGCTCTCTGATGATGGCCCAGAGACCTGGCTTAAAGTTGCTTGGATGGAGCTGAGCCAGCTGGGTGCAGTTACTAGATCCTGAATTCTTTAAAAGGTTCCCATAGCTAGAGGAGCTCCACTCCCTTGCTCCAATCTCTTGTTTGCTATGACCCCAATTCTAGCTCCAAAGAAAGAGCTGTCTCTTGGGCTAACAGAGCATTCCCAATTCTTTATCTCACCCATCCCATAAAGACAACAACTAACTTTATTTCTGATAATGAACATGACCAGAACGCACAGTATTTACATAAGGGCTGAACAGCCACGGGATGATGATTTCTTTTTAATCCCTCAGAAATTAGCCACAGCCCAAATTCTACCCAAGGATGACATTTCAAAGAAGTTCTTTAATCAATGTGATGCTTAGTAGTTCCTCTAATAATATATAAATTTGTAAGTTAAAAATTTGAAGATAAATACCATTGTCACAGATTTATTTACAGTCCTCAGCTCCGTTCTTCCAACAGTGGCATACCCTTAAAGATACAGATCTGTTAGGGAAGAGGAACCTGAGCGACAGGACAGGGAAGCAGAGAACAAAAAGAAATATGGCTGTGCTGCCTGAGAGGAGCCTTGTGGACAGGGGCCATGAGTGGAGGGCCCAGGAGGCACTCACAATGCTTCGGAGCATCTTGTCCCCACCACTGAAGGTGACCGCCAGCATGGAGGCACACTCTTCTGCATAGAAAGGCATCCGTCCCTCCTCATCCACAGCACCTGGGGACAGAGTAGGGGAAAGTGGAGCCGAGTTCCCTTCGCCTTATCAGCTGGGAGACTGTCCTGGGTTTAAAAAGTGATTTCAGTGGCCCAAGTGCCTCAGCGTGCCCACTCCTCACCTAAACAGCCAACCTCACGTGGCAGAGGGTATTCTGTGTCCTAAACACCATTCTTTCAACAGGCTTGCTCCAGGGTAAAACTGGGGGCATTTCACCTCCATACCCACTCATCCAGTCACACATTAATTTTCCTCAGCATTTATTAATTATCTACCGTGAGTCACACACTGTGTGGGCATCGGGGCCATATGGAAAAGGCCAGACCTGATCTCAAGGACACTATAGCCAGGGAGGAAGTGGGGTAAGTAAATACAACTGGGACGGCAAATGCTATGGTAGCATTTGTAAAGGGCACAGGTAAAGGGCATTTAATTCAGGCTAGTGGGGGGGTCAGGGAAGGCTTCAAGCAGGGGGCAAGTGGCACATGGGAAGAGAGGCCAGAGCAGAGGTCTAAACAGTTATAGTAGGTGGAGCTGGGGTGGGGTACCTCCAGATGCTGGGTTGAAAGTGTTCCCATGGTATGGTGACTTATAAGGAAGCCCTGAGGTCTTCTGAGAGCTGGGCGAGTCCCTCCTAACTATCTGAGGCTGAAGAGAAGATCGTGCTCACATATTTAGACACATGGAAGCCAGGGCGCACTAAGATACATAATCCCCTCACCGAGTGACACACACACACATCAAGATACAGTCCCTTCACCACTGAATTCCACACACACACACAGAACCACAAGGTCGCTACCTATGGTGACTGTGTAGATGGAGTTGGCGTAGCCATCGTAGTTGCAGTTGTCGTTGTGCTGGCCCCCATTGCCACTGGCTACCACAAAGATGCTCCCAAAGCCCTGGCGGCCAGCCATCACCCCATGTTGCAAGGCAGCCTGAGGAGAAAAACACCCAGGGATCACTTGAGAAACTCATAGAAAGACCTCTACCTTCCATACCAGTTGTTTTCTCCTCCCTTTCCAGAAAGGAAAGAAAAGAAGCCCAAAGGCACTGGGCATGGAAGAAAGAGATTTAAAGATGGACACAAGAAGGGGAGGACGCTGTTAGCTGAGCAACTGTTTGATGGATGTGCTCTACTGATCAGAGAGGGTGGGACCAGGAATGGGGCGCCGAGCACAGAATCAAAGGGAAGCCACCTCAGAGCGCTGTTCCATCTCTCTCTCAGAGCCCGTGCCTCCCACAGTCCCCCATCTCTAGTTAGGCGTGCTCTTCCCCAAAGGAGGCGGCCGGGGCAGATGGCACAGGACTGGCACTGCAAGTGGGGGTGGGGCTGGAGAGGGCGTGACTTGTAGAATTCCTCTAGGAACTGGGTCTCCTAATGCGGTTCACAGGTACCTTTCCAAGCTGATGGGGGCCGTCCACTGTCTTCCCATCATCATCTGGTCCCCAGCTGTTGAGAAATACCCAGGAGGAAGAGCCAGAGCCAGGCTGTGGCTGCCCACTCAGGCCCCAGTTCCAACTGGCCACCCCTCTTACTCTCCTCCAAAGGGTTGCAGCAGGACTCCCATGATTAAAGGACATAGGGTTCAAAGGTCCAGCCCCACACCCAAGTGAAAAACAGAAGTATGTGCTAAGGTTCTTTTGCTTGGAAACTTTCCTAATTTAGGACTATTTTAACTGGCTCCTAAAAACCCTTTCTCAGGTCCCAGGGAGCAGGAGACAGTACATAGTGGTAGAAAGGGACAGGCGGCCATCCTCTCCTGATCCAGGGATCTATTACTAGGCTTGATGGAAGAGCACCCAAGCAGGCAATACTCAATCTGCGCAAGGTCTTGGGTCTGAGGAGTTCTCTATTCTTTCTCTAAGAGGAAAGGTACATTGAGGATGATGTCATGGATTTAAGGGAGATACTGGTTAGGGAGAAGAACAGGTGCCAACAGTGCCACGGGGGAAGCCCAATCTCCGTTCCTCATTACCTATCCCCCAGCTCCGCCATAGCCATAACCTGCAGCTGCAGGTGCATTTATGTGTACAGGGTAGAACGGATTGGTGCTGGGCCTTGAGATTAGTTGTGGTTAAAGAGGAAAGCCCACTTTCTCCCCAGAGGCCTTAATGAGTTTATTAAACAAATAAATATGGGGCAGCCTGGAGCACTCCTCATGTGGCAACATGATTACTGGGGTGACGTGGGCCTTCAGACTGAGACCCCAGTGGCTGGGGATCTGGAGAAATGAGAGCAATGGACTTACAGGCTGAACCCAATGAGAAGATTCCTGCTGGGACCTGCCCGAGTCAGCCCATTTTGCTGTTCTTTCGTTGGAGAATTCATCCCAGGTACCCCAGCCTCTTGCCCTATCACCTGTTCCTGCTTCTGCCTCACCTGCAACTGTAGATGTCATTGATCTGATAGTGCTTGTTGAATGCCACGGCCTCCATGCTGTCTGTGAGGGGTCCATCTAGTAACCGGATACCTAGGTAGTAAGGCCACATTAGCTCAAGATGGGGAACGGGGTGGTGGGAGCTGCACGCGGAGACTTACTTTTCCCTTTAAGCACTCTTGTGTTTTTTATACCACGTGTATGTACCTGTCCAGACATATTTTTTAACATAATGCTAAATCTTAGCCTGTAAGGATCATGGGGTCTGGCTGGAAGAGGCACAGGCTGGAATGTAGGTAGCTGGGTTCCCCTTCTTATTTTTAATCACGTAAAACACTGGTGTGGTGCTTGTTACATAGAAGGCGCTCAATACATGGCGCCCATTACGATTAACTACTGCCATGGACGCCTACTTTCACCCTTTAAAATGGGGTAGGTCACATCCTGGTGACTACGGAGGGACAAGGGAGCTTTCTGAAGGGACTTGGACCCTGAAGGGTGGTTGCTGGCTCCCTCTGTAGCCTCATTCACAGAGAGGGCTATTGCCCTCTGCTGGAATTTAAGAGGAATACAGCCAATCTATTCAATTTGTGGGTTCCAAGCATTTATGAAGAATCATGGGGAGGGCTTCCCCATTCATTCCCTTCACCTTCTCCTTTGATGGAAAAAGACTGAGAGGTGAAGGAGTCATAAAAAAAAACCCAGTTGGGGCCAGGGCTGCTCAGCTCTCTTGAAAGGATGGAGAACGGACAGTGGCCACCATCAGAAGGGCTGGGAGCTGGAGAGCTGGGAGACAGAAGAGCCTCCACAGACATGTGGGGTCAAGGAGGGAGGACAGATGAGACGGTGTTTGGCAAACTGAAAATAGAAGTATAACACAGATAAGTCAAGGAGGTATCATTGCCATGAGCTGGGTCATTGATGGGGCATAACCAAGATTAGAAAGAAGGAAGAGGAGACTAAGTGGGTGGGGCTTGAGGTCTCCATCCCACATCAAGAGCATTCCCACTTTTATCTGTTTTATATGGTGGGGTTTGCTGCTAAAAGCATGTCTGAGACGCTACTGCATTGAAAAAAAAAATCAATGAACTGATCTGTCCTACCGACACCTATTATAAGCTTACCCTTTGTTCTCTGCTTATATGTGTTGAGAGTAGGATAAAGACAGTTCAGAATTCGGGGGATGGGGCAAGGGATGAAGACTGTCATCCCAGGACAGACCTACTGAGGCTAGACTGGAAGGTACCTGCTATGCGGCTCCCATATGCCACTCCCACCGCACAGAAGCTGTTGTTGGGCACCGCAGCAATCTCTCCCGCACACCGTGTGCCGTGGTGGTTGCCATTCTCCACATCCGGGTGGGGCATGGGGTCAGGGTCATTAGAGTTGAGGTCATAGCTGCCCTCAGGGCTCTGAAACATTGATGGGGGGCAATAGGTGGTCACTCACTGGTTATAAGAGGTCATCAGGTCTTGGAGCTCAGGGAGAGAGGGCAACTGGGAGTTTGGGGCTCTGAGCCAGGGTGGCAGGCCCATTTCTTTCTGCAAACCACGCAGGCTACAAAATATGGGGACAGGACACACTGGGGCAAAACTGCGAAGTGCTACAGCTCTCAGAAAACTTCTTTCTTTCCCATTGTAGAAATGTACCCAGGAAACTGCTCCATGAATTGGGGAACCTGGGATAAAGAGGATTTAGGGCTACCTAAAGGCCAGGCTGTCCAGAGAGGAAGGTGCTTAGAACCTGTGTGGAGAGGGAAGTTGCCTACAGGGGCCACTCCTGACTCCCCAGGGCAGGGAGTGGCACCAGGAACCAGGAAGTGTCACCTGGGATCCTCTCCCTTGCTGAGGGTGAAGCCTCTCCCTGTGTCTTAACTGCCAACCTGGAATGCTGGCTGGGGAAGCAGTTGAAGAGTAGCATGGCACCTCCCAAGCCATTTTGTTTGCCCCAGTCACCTCTAAGAAAAGGGACAAGCCTGAGCCAATATCAAGAAGGAGGTAAGATTTGGGGGTGGGAGGGGTCATTCCAGGGCCACTCACATAGTTGGGCGCAATGTCCTGGATGGTGTGTTCCACTCCATCATCCACTACCACCACAGTCACCCCTCGCCCAGTTATGTTGCGTTCCCATACACCTGTCACGTTGATGTCCTTGCCGGGGCTCCGCCGGTTATTCTGTAGGAAAGACAGGGTCACGAACTGTCTCAAAGTCTTGGGAGTCCAGCGACACACAGCATAGCCACAGACATACAAATTACAGCTAGCAGCCCCTTTTCACTCTTGGCTGCTATCAAAGAGCCACCCAGAGGTTGTGGACCAATAGATCTAGATGGGGAAGGAGCCAAGGAGGGACAGGTGAGAGCAATGCACAGCCTAGGTCTCCAGGAAAGCCCAGCAGCATTCATGGGCAACAAAGATGACATGGTGGCCAGGATTAAGGTTGGAAAATACAATTATTATGCCACATGATGTATATTGTATTATCATTACATAATGTTAGCAGCTAACACTTATAAAGTGTTTACCATGTGTCAGGCATACATACGTTAAGTCGCTTATTCTAACTACCTCTACAAGGTAGGTACCATTATAATCGCCATTTTACAGAGACGGAAACTGAGGCACAGGGAGGTTAAACAGCTTGCCCAAAGGCACATGCTAGCAAGTGGCAGAGCTGGAATTTGAGCCCAGGCATCCTGGCCCCAGCACCCATGCCCTAACCACTGAACCCACTGGCTCTCTAGAAGTGAGTACCGGAAAGATGGAGCCTGAGGAAGAGGGCCACCAAAGCCCACAGAAATGTCTCTTCAGGCAAAAGATGGGGGCAACCGAAAGTAATACAGCCAAAAGCCCACTAAAGAATTGGGTACCCAGGGGCCGGCCGAGTGGCTCAGTTGGTTAAGAGCTCGCTCAAGAGTTTGAGCTCTGAGCAACAGCAGTTCAATTCCTGGCCCGAGCTGAGCAGCCGCTGAGCTGCCAACAGGTGGCAGGCTGGCTCAGCTTAAAAAAAAACAAAAACAAAACAAAACAAAGCAAAAAAGAATTGGGTACCCAGAACCCACACCTGAAGCTGAAAACTGCAGGGCTGGACTTACCAGGTGCCATTGCTGTGGGTACTTGGGGTCGTTGAAGTGGACGCTGCGCTTGGCTCGCTTTAGGAGCTTCTGCTCTGAGTGCCAGCGCACAGCTTCATGTCTGGCTAACACGGCCTCTGCCTGCTGCCGGATGGCCTCCACCTGCTGGTCCTGCCAGTGCCCAGCTGGCTGGACGAAGAGGTAGTGCCCCCGAAGCTGCCCGATGCGGCCAGCATTCACTAGCCCTGCTGCCTGGGCCAAGGCATCTGCCTGCTGCCCCAGAGTCTCTTCCTCCCTCTTGCCTTCTGGGCTGTTGAGGTGCACAGCCCAGCTCAGCCCCCCTGGACCCTGGGCGCCAGGCCCACCTGTCACTGCCAGGCCCATGACCCAGGGAACCTGTAAGAAGAGGCCGGCTAATTCCAGCCAGAGGCAGGTAAGCAGACCCAGGGGGGCGTCCAAGTGTGGTACTTTCTGCCTCCCCTTCGGCATCAGAGCAGTAGGCTGCAGACAGAGAGAAAGGACATGAGAGATAAAAGAGCTGATAATAACAGTAATCTGAGAGGGAGACTAGGCTATCAATGTACTACAAATGGAAACCCCCAATCCGCTCCTTTTAAATTATGAAATGTGTGATTCTCTCTTTTGATTCATGTTTATCCCTGACCAACAGGGATAAGCCCCCAGGAGGAGTACGGGCCAGTACTAACCCCAGTGGGTACCTCCATGGCATCATGGGCCAATCCCCATTTCACCAGATAATCAAGCAGCATGTCCAGTTGCTAACAGACACCATGCTGCTCTTTTCCACTATTGCCATGAAAAGGGCTCAAAAGTCCTAACACTCCCACAAATGACTGGCAGAATCATGACTGTTCTTTAGAAGAAACTCTCCACCCTTCTATAGAGGGGACAAAAATCTTCCTTCCCCCAGCTGGCTTCTCATTCTAGTTGTCCTCAGGGCTAACACCTCCCCACTCCCTCACCCCCGTTGGGCCCCATTCCCACCTGGACTCTAAGTGAGGTTGAGCTCCTGATCTGGCTAACCACCTCACACTCATTTTGTGCAACTGGAGAAAAGGCATCACTTTCACTGTGAGTTGCGTTGACTCTGAGCACAGACTGCAGACCTGTGGACCCTAAGAAAAGAAGAAATGGTGTCCTCCCAAACCCAGTGGAACACAGAGGCTAGCCGTGAACTCCAGGACCTGCAACCAGAGAAACTGGCCAATCATCAAGTATCATTTCCAGGGATCTCAAATAGGTCACGGCTGGAACAGAACTGGTACAGTAAGGTCAAGTCAGTACAAAACCCAGAAACTCTACTTCTCCCAACCATCATACCACCCCCTCTTTTTTTTTTTTTTCACCTCGAGGCCTAGGAGAGGGCTTGAACTGTTACCAAAAACCCCTCTGGAAAAAGTAGGTAGTACTGTTTCCTAGAAGTGCAAGTGGTAGCTAACATTCTGATTTCTGTATCTGGATGACGCCAGGGGAAGTAAGAATAGGCAGGAGGCAGGGGAAATGGGAGAAACCGGAGAATGCAAACAAAACTGAACAGGCACAAAGGGCAAGTGGGCAACCGCGAGAAAATAAATGACTGGAAAGCAGCACTGAAGGGCCACCTTTAGTCACTAGCTCAGGAATTTAGCTTGGAATTGAGGGCTCAGGCCCCAAACCTGAGACTGTCATCCGTGGTTTGATGGCAGGGCCAAATTAGAACTAACTAATTAATGGGGAACTGTGGGGACAGGAACAAGTGAATAGGTGGCAGAACATGTGTGTACCCATTGGTGGCTGAGCTCCTTTGGAAGCATCTGCTCTCTACTGGCTCTGAGGCAAAGCTTAGTACCCAAATACACACCCCCAAATGGAACTGACACAAAACGTTACAGAAAAATGGGCGTTTTAGCAGAGTCTCTTTGGAAAGGGAGAAGTGAACTCATGCCACCCTACATCTCCCTCCCAAACTCTGCATTCCACATCTCCTCTCTTTTTCTTTTTGGTTCCCAGGCATATTTCCTCTCAAATTCCTCCCTGCCCTCCAGTAGCCTCGATTGTCCCACGATATTCAGGTGACTCTGCCAGTCTGCAAACCTTACTAAGTAAAACAAAATCTTGTTAGCCAGGTAGTGACCCATCTAGGCAGGCTCCTTCAGTCTCAGTAGATTTCACAGATTTCCGGAAGAGGAGAGAAACCTGACCATTACTTCCTCCTTCCCCTCTAGAAGAGCAGTTCTTTTTACCTCCAAACCCCTATCCCAGGCTTCCCAGAAAGGAGCCCTAAACACCCTCTGAAAGCAGATCTCAACCTCCCTCAATTGCTAGGCACATCGTTACAGCTCTTAGGCGCCAAGGAAGAGGAATAATATAAGCAGCCCCGAGTTCAAGATTCTGCTCCCAAGAGACTGTCTTTCTCGCACCCTCTACACCCTGTTCCTAAAAGCCTGGTTGCCTACAGGGGTCAGTTTCATTGATTACCCCCTCCTGGGCCTCGACAGCCCCGTGCGATGTGCTCCTCTCTTTAGAGGGACCCATCCTATCCTGGAATCCCAGACCCCGGTGCCCCCCATGTCCCTGGGCTCTCCCACGCCAGGACTGAAGGAGCACTGTCGTGCAGTTCCCTCATCCTCCGACACCGGCTCCCCCACTTCTTGGCCACCCGGACTTCCAAGGGCCCATCCCCACCGAGTTCCCAACTCACCCGCCCGGCCGCAGCTCCTGCCGCCGCCTCCCTGCGGAAACTCGCGGCTTCCCCGGAGCCCAAGGAGCTAGTGACAGTAGCATCACTTCCGCCCGGCGGCGCAACCAATCAGCAGCGGGTCCCCGGGCCCGGCCAAGCGGCTGGGAGCAACCGGCGCTAGGGTGCCGGCTCCTTCGGGCATCCTCCGCCGGAAGAGGAGCGTGCGGGGGTGGTGGGCTTTCCTCGCGGGGTCCCACCGTCTGGCGTTCTCGGGCATCATCTCTAAGAGGGGCCCTCCACAGGGCGACCGTCTTTTTCATGGCGTCCTCTGGAAAGGGCATCTCGGTTGCGACCTTTAATGACACCTCGTTCCTCTTCTCCCTCTGACCGCCATGGCCCCGACTCTCCCTGTCATCTTTCTAGAGGGGCTCCTCCTTCCACCCGGTCTCCTTCCTTCTCGCGATCGCATCTCCCTTCCTCCCTGCGTCCGGGGAGAGTCCACATGTTTCTTAGGGGGCTTCCGCCTGCCCGCGTCCCCTAGACGGTTCCAGCTCTGGCCGCCAGGGGGCGACGTCGGGGGCGGCCGGCGCTGCCGCGGCCTCTCCTCTCCCGGCCGAGCTTCGCCCCCTCCGCTCGTGCCGCCGGAAGTGGGAGGTGTCGCGCTCGGGCCGGCGCTCGACCCCTCCCCCGAGGCTAGGCCGCCCCCTCCCCCCGCTCCGCCCGCTCAGGTGCGTCCCGTCCCTCCCCCTCTTCCCTCCCGGGGGTGCGGCGCCGGAGGGGTGTGCGGGGTGGGCGCGCGGGCTGGGAGCTGCGATGGCCGGGCACGGAGGCTGAGGTGGGGGTGTGTGTGGAGGGTGCCGTGAGGATGCGGGCTGGGGTCCCGGCCTAGAAGTGTGACGGGGGGTCGGCCACGGGGGTGCGGTGGCCGAGGGGAAGGTGCGTAGAGGCTCTGGCCGGAGGCAGCGGCCAGCTTAGCTAGTCCCCCGGTGCAAGGCGGCCGTGTCCGCCCGGCGCTGCTTTCCCCCATTGTCCCCTTCGCGTCCGCCCCCTGTTCTCTCCCCCGAGGACCCATCGCTCCGGCCGTCGCCGCCTCGCTGGTGGTCGGGGCCGCGTTCCGGTGTGGAGATCCCCTTGGCAGGTTCGACGTTCCACTTCGCGCCGCAACCCGGTGTACCTGCGCCTCTCTCTTGGGCTCTCTAGCGCAGAGTTGCATGTATGACCCTTGCCCTGTCGTTTCATTTACCGGGTACCAAGGGCTCCCGGCCCATGGGCTCTGTTAGGGCAGGATGTTTGCTTTTGAGGGAGCAGTAATGACGATTTGGGGCCCATTTTCTCCTAGAGGCTTTGTGCAATGGGGAACACTAAGGTACAGGGGGTCTCTGGCCTGTGACTGAAGGGTTGACACAGCCCGGTCTCCATACTTGCCCTGTGCTCTCTTGAAGGTTCAAGAGTTTACCTGTGATACCATTAAACTCAAAACAAGAATTTAAATTAACATTGTTGCCCCCCGCCCCCCGTGTATGTGTGTGTATATATCTTTTTTCCCTCTCTCTTCACCATGGAAGGACTTGAATTTGTTCTGCAACATAAAAGATCACCTTTCGATCTAAGAAAGTCATCTGACCTGGTTCCCTTACTTGGATAACCCTGTTTTTCAGCTCATTTTCGTGCTGGCATAACTAAGATTCTCATACTCTTGCACCCCTGTAGTAACTGTGAAGAGTTTGTACTTCCCTTAGTCAGTGGTTATCAAACTTTTCCCATCAGTGGGGGAACGTACTGACAGAGTAAAAGATACTTGGATTGCCCAATATAATACTGCTTTTTCTCTCACACACAGACACCTCCCAAAAACTTCTGTTAAATGAATGGAGAATGCTTTTTATGAAACATCCATAAAATGATTTAAAAACATAAGCTGTTGTTGATATTAGGCCAAAAAAATGCATCTTTTATCAATGATATTAGGCAAGATAGGTATGTAGACCATTTGGAAGAGTCTCAGACTATAGCTACTATTTTATTCATATTTTAAAAAGATTTTATTAGGGAATTGGGGAGGGGGAACAGTGTTGGGGAATTGGGGAAGGGGAACAGCCAAGTTGTCCTTCAGTCTTAGTTGTGGAGGGCGCAGCAAGCTCAGCTCCAAGTTCAGTCGCCATCCAGCCGCCTGTTGGCAGCTCAGAGCAGCTCAGCTCAAGGTGCCGTGTTCAATCTTAGTTGCGGGCAGATGTAGCCCCCACCATCCCATGTGGGAGTTGAACCGGCAGCCTTATTAGGAGCACGTGCTGTCATCTGAGCCATCCTGCCACCTGTTGGCAGCTAAGTGGCAGCTCAGCTCGGGCGCAGCTCACTGGCTCATGTGGGAATCGAACCTGCAACCCTGTTGGTCAGAGTTTGCACTCTTAACCAACTGAGTCACTCGGTCGGCCCCTATAGCTACTATGTTAAATGACTGCTTTTTTGCCAAAAGTGAGAAAGCTTTGCATAGACTCCTAGATACTTATATAAATATAAATAAATATATAAATATATAAATATAGCAATTCCTGAGGATTGATGTCCACAGGGACCTATTGCATGCAGTGGCTCCTTGAGTATCCTACTATAGCATACCCTTTTAAGTGTTTGCTCCTGGAGTGCAACCTTGTATTTCTTTCCTGGAACAACCTTGTTGTGTGTGGACATTCTGAGGGGGAAAGATACATTTGTTTTAAAATTTTGAAACTTGTAGCCTGTAATTTGTTTGTGAATATACAGAGCGTGATGGCAGCGCCTGAGGTAGCTGGTGTGGTGACCAATGCCCCCAATCCTCCGGAATCTTCCTCTAGTTTATGTGCTTCCAAATCATCCGAAGTTCTCCTAGATGGTCTAAGGTAACGTGTGGATTCTTGGCTGGGAAGTTTTTGTTTGGGTAAAGAAAGGGCTTTGGAGCTGGGCTTCTTATGGAAGTGTAGCTGGTCTTTCCTCTTTTTGGCTCGAGTGGCAGTGCACTAGATGAAGCTTTTTAATGGTAGGGACTGTCTGATTTATATTTGTATTTCCGGGATCTAACATAGCATCCGACACTCAGCAGACATGCTAATATTTGCTGAATAAGTAGATTAGAATACAGGGGGTCACACTCAAATGCAAATATTTCCCCACTCTATCCTACATGGATTACATGTTCATTTAACTACATGTTTATATATTGTATGTATGTATACTTATAAATCTATATTACATAGATATATCTACACATAGGTACGTATACACACATATATATGTATGTTTGTATTTATATATCTGTATCTGTAGATAAATAGATAACTTTGTTAATACGGCTTACTGCTTTATGTATATATTTTGCCTTCCATTTAAACTCTTGAGGGCAGGAATTATGATTACCCAGCCTTACAGTGCTTGACATGTACAATGTTGTATTAAATTGATTATATA